GCAAAGTACTGCTGGGAGGAAGTGGCCGTCCCTTCCTCCCAGCTCCCTCCCCTCCGCGCCGCATGGGAGGGAAGAAAGACAGGCCGTTGGAGCCACGCCGACTCCCATCAGCCACAGCCTTCCACCTGCAAAAAAAAGGTAAGTAAAATTAGCTGTATTTGTGTATGTTAGTATGTATCTATGTATGTATGTCTGTCAGAATGTGTGTGTGTGTGTGTCTGTGTAAGTCAGTATGTGTATGTATGTATGCATGTCTGTCTGTGTGTATGTATTTCAATATGTCTGTGTGTATGTATCTGTATGTATTTCAATATGTATGTATTTCAATATTTCTGTGTGTATGTATCTGTATGTATTTCAATATGTATGTCTGTCTGTGTGTATGTATCTGTATGTATCTCAATATGTATGTATGTCTGTGTGTATGTATCTGTATGTATCTCAATATGTATGTAAATGTCTGTCTGTGTGTATGTATATGTATGTATGTCAGTGTGTGTGTGTGTGTGTATTTATGTCCTTATGCGTGTGTGTGCAGTGTGCATAGGAATTTGTTCATATTGTTTATTGTCCGGCTCCCAACAGTGTCTGAGGGACCGTGAACTGGTCCCTTGTTTAAAAAGTTTGAGGACCTCTGTCATTATGTATGTATGTTTGTCATTGTGAATGTATGTCTGGATCTCATTATGAATGTATGTATGTGTGTATGGATGTCAGTATATATAAATGTATGTCTGTATATATGCGTGTATGCCAGTATGAATGTATGGATGTCAGTGTCTGTATGAATGTATGTTTGTCTGTATGTATGTTTGCCAGTATGAATGAATGTATGTCTGTGTGTATGTATGTCGGTGTGTGTATGTCCTCATGCATTTGTGTCTGTATGTATGTTAGTATGTGTCTATCTGTCACTATGTATGCCTGTGTGTCTGTATATGTGTGTATGTCTCAGTATGTGTGTGTGTCAGTACGTATGCCTATATGCGTGTATGTCTTTTCCGGTATGTGTGTCTGTTAGTATGTATCTTTGTGTGTTTGTGTATCTATGTCCTTTTGTATCAGTGTGTGTTTTTGTGTCTGTGTGTGTATTCCTGTGGGCAGGATTTGGAGGCGGACCCTGTGGGCGGGATTGGAGGCTGGCCCCAGGGGGCCCAGACCCTGAGCTGAGTTAGGGGCCCCAAAATTTCTGGTGGCGGCCGTGATGCCATTGTATGTCTGTCCTTTAATAACGCTTGCAGGGAACTTGTTGTTGAAGCTTGCAGTGTGTGTGTGTAATAGAATAATATTAACATTTTCTAGCATCGTATGTTTAACATGCTTCAGAACAAATCCATTTTATTTTTGTGATTGACCGCCAAGTAAGCTAGAGTATGTTTGGCATGTGTGCATTGATGTCATAAATATGATGATTTGTGGAATGCTACTTGATGTCAGATCTAGAGTATATATGATACTGAAACATGCTCTCTGTATATATGAGATATACATCACTCCTGCTCTGAACTATATGATGTCATAAGAGTTGCTGCGAGGTCATAATGTGGTTGCTATTATGTGGACGTTATATCCATTCAGGTTTCAAAAAAACGACTCTTGAGGATACATCCAGACTGTGTAGCAAATATTATAACACAAAACAATTCTGGTTTCGGTAAGCTTTTGTTTAAATTATTTTGAACATCATGTCACATAAAATAAATAGTTGTAGTAATAAATATCATTCATTTTGTAGAACTATTTACAATCTATAAAATGTTACCAGAATAAGCCAAACTCAGAGAGGGAAGAGGAAGGGACCAACGTGGGATGGATTGTTAAAATAAAGGCCAATAATGATTAGACAGGAAGGATGTGAAGGAGCTTGCAAAAGTGGACCAAAGTTAGCTTGTATATGTGACTATAATTTTGTCCAGTACCACATTCCTGATTTATTTACAGCTAAACAAGAAAGAATTTAATATTAATTGTTTTTAGAGAAAGAAAGGAAAGGTTGTGGGAGCCTGACTTGTAAAGTCAAAGGTGGAAAATGCCAGAGATAATGAGAAAAGGATTGAATGAAACATACAGGCCTTTTCACAGAATTTATACAAATTAAGTCCAAATGGAAAACTGAGGGACAACAAAGTTGTAACGGTTGCTGAGAATCTTTCCAGATAGTTATTTTTTCCTCCATTTGGTTTTTATTTGGATTTAAATTGTGAACATTTGGACTTTTGTGAATAACCCTGATAGAGTTGCAAGGAGAATATAAAATAGGGATTCATTATGGTAAAAAAAACAAATCATCTAAGCTTACTTTGGGAGCATATAGTACCTGGGAATATCTGTTTATACCCACAATAGAGACCAGACATACAGGAGACAACTGTTTACAGGACCAAAACAAATGTTTCAACATTATATGTTTCACACCAATAGGTGCTTATTTTTGGGCCTATGAATATCAATGTATTGCTCAATGCTGTTTCTGTAAGCTGTCCGTTTAATTCTTACCTTGAAGTGATAAAATTAAATGGCTTCTGAGGGGGAGAGCTATATATAGGCATGGGTTTGGGATAGGTTCAGTCCAGGCCGGACTGGGAAAGAAACTGGGCCCGAGCACATTTTTTAACCACAGCGGACAGTGAGAATGGGACAGGGCCAGAGAGAAGAGGGGGTGTTTTGTCATCACCAATGTCAAGCACACCCTCTCTAAGTGAGCATGTAAGTTGAATGCTCTTCCAGAGCAGCCCATGGCCAGAGCCATGCTGAAGAGCTCTAGCATGAGCAAAAGGTCCTGAAGTTGCTATGCTAAGCGCAAGCAAATTTAATAATACACTTGCGCTGTGTTTCCTTATGACTAGTCTCTGGTGTCTCCACAAGTGTAATACCAGAGAACAAAAGGGTCAGGAAAGCGTGTTGTGCATGTATTTGTAGGCTAATTGTAGGATCGCGTGTGTGTAGAGTGAGCTGATTGGGCTGTTTTGTGTAAATATGTTGTAGCGGACTGGACCCTGTACCAGAGTCTGCCCCGGTTTCCTGGAGGGGACTGCTTGCTCGCCTGCTGCCCAGTGATTATGGTCCCGGAAGATGGGACCCTTAAAACCCCTTGACTGGACCTAAGGGATTGTGTATGACCTTACTGGCCCTTTAAGAACCGGCCAGGGACATATGACTTTTTGGGAACAATACCCCTTTAAGACTTTGTAGCAGATTACAGTAAGGATGTCTTTTATATTATGTATGTTCCTGGGTGCCTGGCTAAATTGTATATGTGTATGCAGCATTCCACTGCTTGTTCGGTAGAATCACTCCATTCATTATATTGAGTGAAACTAACGAACAACCAGACCACCCAGGAATAAGTGTGCCTCCAATTACCCTGGTCTGATCTGGGTGATTTTTGGATATGTTCCTCACCCAGATCAGGGCTACCAGGGGGGTGCTATATTTAAAGGTGTACCCCCCATATTTGGGGTACATCCAAGAATTGGGGAAAAGTGTGTACTGTATAATTATGTTAAGTGTTAATCCAAGGGGAAGAGATGTGTGGGACGTAACATTTATGGGATTGGCTGTTGTAATAATTATTGTAAATCCTTCCCTTGCATGGGAGAATGTCTTAAAAGGTGGTGTGAATAAATCTTCAGTTCCTGCTTAACCCTCAAAGTGAAGTGTCGTCTCATTATTGGGGAAGGATTTATTGTATGCTGTTCCAGTTTGACTGCTAGGAGTCTAAACCCATCCGTGTGGTTTTTGCCTATTCAGCTGTTTATAGCATTCATATGCTTGAGAGAAGGTATAAGCTTCTCCGGTTCGGTGATTGTGGTGTCTGCCAGAGTGCTTGGAGTCCTCAGGAAACGCTAGGAGCATCCTTCAACGGAGGTACCCAGTCAGGGTGCCAGGTGATCCGTTACATATGTCAATTTCTGTTGTGTTGTTTTTGTGGGGTAATATTTGTGGCTAGGGGATGTTAAGTGAGAGTGTGTGTATAGGGGATGTAGCGAGGCTGTAGTGTGTGTGTTCTGTAGTGAGTGTGTTTAGGGAATGTAGTGTATGCATTTGCATACAGGGGGTCTAGTATGTGCATAATGGATCCAGAGAATATTTATATCCTACCTCCCTTCTTAAATTTGGCCTGGGATGGGGGACATTGTAAACCCTGGTGGTCCGGTGGTGGTGAGTGACTCTGTCTACAGCTCCTCTGGCTAGAGTTCACTCTCGAGATCTGCTAGTGTGGTAACTGAGGCAATGCTCCCAGCTTGAGAGAGGAGCAATCTGAACCTGGCAGAGTTTCTAGCTAGAGCTTTCTGCATTCTCCTTCTCTCTCCTCTCTCGATTCACGTGGCATCACCATCGAGACATGAATCTCGAATCAATGAATCAATGCTTTACTATGGGGTCTACATTAACGTGACCAGGTTTTTAGTGTAACAGCCACCGTAGGTGTATTTAACCCTGTAAATATTGCAGTTTCTAAAAAAATAATAAACTATTTTACATTGCAGGGTTAAACCTATAGAACTATTGAGATGACGTGACTTTAGTTGGACTTAAAACAAATAATTTAATTTTATTGTATTATAATTTTTTGTATAATCTCGCCAGTGCCTTCAAAATAGTGTGCTGTGACACACTAGTGTGCCTCAAACCACCTCACCGTGTACCACAAAATCTTTGCCTGCACCCTGAATGGCCTACAAGAGTTTTCCTATAGAAACCGTTTACTTGGCTATGCCTGACATATGTTTGGTGTAAAGTTGCAAGTATGCATGTCCGAGATATCACTTGTATTTATAAGGTCATGGAGGCCCAATACTGTCAACAAGTACTTGATGGTTATTTTTTCGTCAAAGTTGTAAATGGGAAGACTTGACCAACTCACACATTTTATGGATTTGAATCCTTTGGTGTAAAAAAGAAAAAAATACTTTTGTAATCTCTTTGACAAGGTGGTTTTGGGTATGGATATTGGGAGTTCGGGGGCATTTTTCCTACTTAGGTCAAACTCCCACGCTCTGGTATTCATTCACTAATCCTGTCGGTTTCTGTTGACCATATTCAAACACTAGGTCACACAATTGTATAATGAAATGTGTTGGTAAAGTGTGTCAGTGACAAGACACAGGAGAAATTATAAAGTATTAGTCAGGTTAGAAATTCACAGACTGATTGCTGCTGGAGCTAATAATATAACGACAATCAATTTGACTGCCCAGTTTATTGCCATCTGTGCTGTGAAAAATGTTGGCCCTATATAAATGCTAGTTATAATAATAATCTGCTCTACGAATCTGCGAATATTTTGGTGGAATCTGGCCATTTCTTGTGAGAATTTTTACTAGGCAGAAAGTGGTTAAAGCAAGAAAAATGTTTTTGATCCTGGTCTTTTTCCATACTTTTTATCTCCGGCTGCATTATAAAAAAAAAAATGTTGTTGCTATTTTACGGCTGCTCTTTTTGTTAACATTCCCAGTCAGGGATACAGTTTAAGCTGAATGCTTTTAATTTACTACCATTAGCAATACCTACCAACAGCTTCTCCTAAGTCTGTCTCTCTTTCTTTCTCTCTCTTTCTTTCTCTCTCTTTCTTTCTCTCTCTTTCTCTCTCTCTCTTTCTCTCTCTCTCTCTTTCTCTCTCTCTCTTTCTCTCTCTCTCTTTCTCTCTCTCTTTCTCTCTCTCTTTCTCTCTCTCTCTTTCTCTCTCTCTTTCTCTCTCTCTCTTTCTCTCTCTCTCTTTCTCTCTCTCTTTCTCTCTCTCTTTTTCTCTCTTTTTCTCTTTTTCTCTTTTTCTCTTTTTCTCTCTTTTTCTCTTTTTTTCTCTTTTTTTCTCTTTTTTTCTCTTTTTTTCTCTTTTTCTCTTTTTCTCTTTTTCTTTTTTTCTCTTTTTTTCTCTTTTTCTCTTTTTCTCTTTTTCTCTTTTTCTCTTTTTCT